CAGTGCTGAAATCTGGGCTCACCTGAGTCCTGAGCAGGTGCTGAGGCTGACGGAGGAGCCGGGGAAGCCCTGGACGTGGCCGTGGTAGAAGCAGTGGCCCTGTGCAGGGGGAGAGGACATTTCACTGGTCACAAATCCTCCTTGCTCCCGGGGTTCCAGCCCCTTCACTTCAAGGTGATCATCACTTCCAGGCCACAGCATTCCGAATCGCACTGGCAGCAACTTTCCTGTCCCACCAAATATCCTCTGTGCTTAACAGCCAAACAGTCCTAAAAGGAAACCTTGCGTGCTCCTAAATCTCAGCAACTTATAGGAGTTATCGGAGGTTTTGTGTTTGGTCCTGTATTCTTATTTTGTGAAGGATTAGTAATGTTAGATTTATATAACTGACCCCCTTTTTCTGTGTTATGTATTTAAAGCTACAATAATTGAACATTTGATAATATTTTATATTATTCTAACATTTTAAATTATTTATATTGTTTTAATATTTATATTATTTATAGTATTTTAATTATTTATATTATTTTAATAGTTTTATATTATTTATATTAATATTTTATAAAATAATCAGATTAACAAATCAGCTGCGGCATTTTACTGCTTTCTATAGAAAAAGAAAGCTGGCTTTATTTAATTTTTAATTAAAATATTTATTATATTTATTTATATTTCATTTTACTGCTTTCTATAGAAAAAGAAAGCTGTTTTAATTTAATTTTTAATTACAATATTTATTATATTTATTTATATGTAAGTATATTTAATTAATTTTACTTTTATATTTAATTAATTAAATATAAATTACTATTACATTTAATAATTTTATTTTTATTAAATCTGTGTATCCCTATAGGAGGTAGGTATGTGAAAAGAGAAATATAACAAAGCCAATCCCAACCCTAGAGCTTGAAACAAAAAAATCACAAAGTAAATGAAGGGGAAGGGAAACAGGTTGGAAAGGAAATTTTTTATTGAAATACCCAACCAAGTAGCTGCATGTTATTAAAAACAACCAAGAATAAAGGAGGGCTTCTATTTTGAGAGACAACAGTCCAATTTCATTTTGTGCCTAGGTTATTGTATTTCTTTAATAATCCACTGCTTGCAAAAGGCACCCACAACAGAGGGTTTCTAAGCTCATGCACATATCTGTCTGGAATCAAGGCTAATTTTATTGTTGACTAAAGGTTATATTGCATTCTCAATACCACCTGGAAAGTGAGAACTCTGCTGTGCAAGGATCCCATCTGATTAGTGCAGAGGGAAGTTATCAGTGCTGCAGCACTCCAGTCACCTCCCTGTGCCTCTCCTGGCTCGGCTCATTATTGCATTAATTAACCTTTCCAGGCTGGGGCACGGTTTTCACTCACAGCATATTTCTAAAAAGCACCTTGATTTTGGTGAAGAAAGCCACAGTCTGGGAAAGATGGGATTATTGAAACAGCAATTTTCTGTAAATAAGTTTATGCCAGGGAAAATGTTTGTTTGATTTCCAGCACGAGCAAGTGAACACAGAGCAGCCAGCTCTGATTTTGTAAATACAAATCTCAGTGGCTTTTGTCAGTGGAAGAAATGACAGAAACAGGGTGAGAGTGTTTTTACTCTTGGGTATTTTTATCATCAATCCTCATGAAGAGTCAGTAACACATTAGCAAAGATAAAGCCACAATAGAAGGGAGGGAATCATAGATTGAATTTTTTGGGGTGATCACTTCAGTCACAATTGCTATGGATGGCAAACTTTGCATGTGGGTGAACTATTTCACTTAATTTCAGTGTTATCACTTCCATGCATCCATGACAGAAGAAAAATCAATGCCCCTCCTACTCAAGCACTGAATCTTTTACATGCCAAAAGCAAAAATAAAATAGGTTTATTCTCATTGCTTAAAGCAAGCAGGAGGTGAAGTTCAGAGCTCCTGAGAAAGAAATCTTTGGGTCTGAGCATCACCAGAGCTGAGCCCAGTGGAATGGGGAGAGAGCCAATATCTCACCCCACACAGCTGCTGCTGTGGTCCAGCTCTCTTTATCCAAGAGTGAATTATGGCAAAGGCCCTGATTTCTTTCCCTCTCCACATACAACTTGTCATTTTATTAACTCTCAGCTCCTGGTTGTGGCCCATTTCACAATTTCTCTGAGATCCAGCAACGTGATGCCAAAGTTCAATATCGAAAATGTAAACTTATCAGAGCATGGCCTGCAACAGGACTGGGAGAAAATTGATTTCTAGCTCAGTAATTCCACTGAATTGCAGGACTTTTTTCTGCTATCAAATCTTTTTATTCCTGCAAACTAGTATATAAAATGGGTGACCCCTTAAAAACAAATAATTACCAAAGGCTGATCCATCATACTTAAAACAGTACTCTACCCTTGCTTGAGATCATTTAATAAATAGCAGCTTTTGACAATTTTCCAGGTGCTATAAATTGAGAAATAACCTAGACACTGACTCTGTGCTAGAGAACTGCCCAAGAGACAGCTCCACAAACCGGCCTGACCTCCAGGCAGAATTTGACTAAGCAACTTTTCAATGGAAAATTGGATTTGGTTTCAGCTCCAGACTGTATTGATGTCCTCAGTGAAGAAGAGATATAAAAATAAAATAAAATCAGAGGCTTGTCTTCTCTCAACCATATTGCAGCATTTAATGAAAAATGAATGCACTGAGCTTTCTTTTTTAGGCAGCAAAATGCACTGTCATTACTAATCATGACTTACTTTGCCATTTTGCTAACAGATATTGTATTTTAGCAAGGAAAACCTGTCATTAGGTGTACACATACTCCTGTTAACTCAGGTAAATCTCTGAAAGACTCATGTGTTTCATTTATTTCCTTTTACTTCCTTCAGGAGTCTCTGCAGCCTTCCTGCTCCCAAAACAAATGACTATTTTCCCCTGAGCTGATTTGGAAGGAGATATGAGCACCCAGCAAAATGAAAGCCCTGAAAGCTTTTGAAATGATTGCTTTACTTGGGGTGTCTGCAGCTATAATGAAGATGCTTCTTCAGAAGTAAGATGTTATGCAGAGAAATAATTCCTTCCCCTGATCCCAGCAAAGCCTGTTCTGGATGGGAACACAAAGCATGGTGTCTCTGCTGACAGTGGCAGTGAGTAAACACCATAACAGAGCAAATACTTTATGGGACTTAGGCAGATAAAAGATAAGCTTTGTAATTAAAATGGCTTGCTGCATTATTTCTAATTAAGGCATTCATGCTGTCAGAGGACAGAATGCATTCCTGCCTTAAGGGGTTTTTATTTGTAAAAAGCAGTTTTAAATGCTTCTTTTAACAAGTCATATTTTGTATAGATCCATCTTTATACATGCACATAAATATACACATACACACACACAAATACAAGTATAAAGTACATCCACAACACACTTATGGCCTGGATTTAAAAAAAATAAACCCAACCAACACCCTCCCCATGGCCTCCCCAGTGAAGAAAGACACCCAAGCCTTCCAACCTCTGATAGGAACTTTTGCCCTCTGGAAATCAGATATTTAGGTGTTTTTTTTCCCCAAACAGAATCAGGCCTTTTCTCCATAACTGATCTGCCACAATTATCACATTTTAATGGGTCTATTTCCAAGAAGCCGAAAAAAACCTCACAAATGTTAAAAGCCACGTGGTTCAAACCCCAGAGCTCGCCTTTAAAGGCTGCCTCTAAAAATTCATGTGTAGGATCAGAGCAGGCACAAAGACACTGAAGGCAACAGTAAAAAAAAAAAAAACCAAAAAAAGCTTCACGTTGAGCTGTTTCATGCCAGGGCTCAGATCCTGGCAGAGGATATTTTGGATTTTAGGGATGAATTACCCACGACAGCCCAGCCTTACCGTGCGATTGCGTGTGAGAACCACGTCAGTGCCATCCTGCAGGTAATGGGTCTCTGTGAAGCCTCTGGCCAGCAGGCCCCTGGAAAAAACACAGCACAGGGAACATTGAGGCCACCTCACCTTGAATTTATCCTTCAGTGGTTCTGTTTGAGATAAGGATCAAAGGCAGGCATTAAGGATTCAACGGCTACGGGGAATAAGGGAAAAATGGAACTCCAAATATTGAAGCTGCAGGACACGAACATTTCCTGTGGTAATTGTGAATAGACTACAAGTTTCCAGACTGTTTTCTCTTCCAAATGAGGACTTTGTGCCAGCACATTTCAGTGCTGAATCTTCCATGTGATTTTCAACACATTTTAGGTTAAATCTAGGGAGATCTGGGGTTTAGGGTATTGTTAAGTAATGGTGGTTTGTTGAAAAGGAAAATGTTTTCCCTGTGCTCCTTATTTTTCCATCTAATCTGGTGTATTCATCAGCAAGTGACCACCCAAAGACTAATTCAGCACTTGGTGAGTGAGACAAAGTCCTCCTATTGACACTCCAGGGAAAACACTGCATGAACACCACAGAATTTACAGCACTGGATTTACCCTGCTCATCCGAAAGGATATTCACAAATGGAAATTCAATGACTTCCCAGGGGACTCTGCAGGATCATGTCTGGGACGAGGCAGTTTGTTCCCATTCCCTCCACACTTCCTCTCCTGCCTTTGGCAAGGAGATAAAAAATTTGGACTTGCAATTGTCATTTTCCAGGAATCCCCAGGGAGGGGCACGGGTGTGACAACCACAGAAACTTCTCTTTTTGCAGGGAACTCGTCTCAGGCATCTGCCTCTTTAAAGCAAAAATAAGTGCTGCTATTGATCTGTTTCAACTCCTTATCTAAAGAGCATTTCTGACAGAGCCTGGAGGAGGAACATTCATTCACATTTACTCCTAATGCAGGCCTTGAGTTGTGCTCCTCATCACAAACACTCTTGAGTTTTGACAAAATTTCTGGTGAGCTGCAAAAGCACAATACAGAAGGAGCCAGGAGATAAATGCCACCATCACCTTCAGAAAACTGGAGAATGTAGAATATTGAAAATCCCTGGCTCTGTGTTTCACAATGTTCATTCTGTCCCACTTCTTAGAGGTGTTTCTCCCTTGGGTTGTCAATTTGAACAAAGCAGGCCCTTAATTTTATTTAAAAGCTGGTAAATGCTGCATCCTTGCAAATATTGTGGTGGGAGCCATTACACAGTTGGGGAATGTATTTCTTGTGTTTGCATAAACATTATAACTGGAGCATAAACACACATTTAATTTTCATTACTGATTAATTTGCAGCACATTAATATCCAGTGGCTCCATCAGGATCTGGTTGTGCTAGGAGCTCTACAAACACTTACTGTGGAGAAAACCCAGCTTTAAAAGAAAAAGAAAGCCCAGCCTCTATCTTGAGGTAGGAAAAAAAAAAAAAATGAAAAAAAACAAAAAAAAAAAAAAAAAAAGAAAAAAAGAAAATAAGGAAGCGGCAAGGCAAAAAAAATCTAGTGAGCACTCAAGCAGAGATTCTCACATTTAACTTTTAAATTTTTCAGCTTGTGGGAAATATTGTCATATTAATAGATATGAGATGTTAAAACACTGCAGCATTGGGTGGGTTTGTAGGAACTGCATCTCAGGCAAGCACAGTAGTATTTGGGTGCCCAACCAAACATCTCGTGTTGATTTGGGTGCACAATACTAAATCCCACCAAGCAGCTCCACAGGGACACCACGGGGCCTCAGAGGACACTGAGTGCAGTGGTGACCCCACCTCCTGTGCCTGCAGCCCCCACAAACCCTGCCAGGAGCAGAGGGGGCTGTGCCCAACACTCATGGAATGGTTTGGGTTGGAAGAGACCTTGGAGATCTTCCAGTGCCACCCCTGCCGTGGGCAGGGACACCTTCCACCATCCCAGGGTGCTCAGAGCTCCATCCAGCATCCCTTGGATGCTCCATCCAGGGGCAGCCCCAGCTGCTCTGGGCACCCAGGCCCTGCTCACCCTCCCAGGGAACAATTCCTAATTTCCAAAATCCCATCCAAACCCACCCAGTGCCAGTTTGGAGCCATTCCCCTTGTCCTGTCACCACACACTCTTGCAAAAAGTCCCTCTCTGTTTCCTACTGTCTCATCATGACAAAGAGCAGCTGCTTTCATAATTATCATTATTTATCTAACACGGCTCACTTCTGCACTTGGCAGGAATTAATTGCCTTTGTAAAGGCAAGATCCTATTGCTGAAGCCAACAGAGTTTCACTGTGCAGCTTTTGGAAATGGGATTCCATCCAGGACAGGGGAGTGAGTTTCCTTTGATGGGACAAAAGTACAGGTACAGGTAACAGATGTAGCAGAAGGGCAAAGTGATTGAGCAACTTGCTTTGTGCTCTGCTGTTTGCAAGGTGTTTGACAGCAATGATGATAAAGGTGACCTTTCCGCTGCTGTTCATTCTGCTCTGAGGCACAGATTTAGAAAATACTTCATAGATCTGTAGGTTTGAACACCAGAAGGGATTTGTGATCACCAGCCTGCCCTGCCCCATTACAGGGGTCATCTGACCCAAATTTATCTTCTGCTACAATGACAGGGAAGGAACCAGATCCATTTTCCCACTGGAAAGAGCCCTTGCCTTGATCTCCCATGAAGATGGAGCTATCACAAACCTGGCAGGATTTTAACTAAACCCAACTTAAACCCACTGCACTTTGTATCTGTTTTAACTGTGCCAACACTCAGTTTCCAGCCACTGGATTGGATCTCATTCCCTCATATCAGAGCTTTATTTTTGTTTGAGTCTTCCATGGAAAGTTCTTCCCAACTAAACTGAGGAAATGTAGCAGGTAAACAAATTCCTGGTGTCAGCAATATCCCTGTGAGGATGAAAGTTTGATATAAATCCTGAAAATACTGGCTGAAAGGAAGAATTCCCAGTGTGAAACGTAAAGGACTGGTGAAAGCACCAAGATGATGGGATCCCACTGTTGGGACTGATCTTAGGAAAGCAAAGGAATGTCCCAGTGTGGGACACAGAGCTGTGGCTGCCCCTGGATCCCTGGCAGTGCCCAAGGCCAGGCCGGAGCACCTGGGACAGTGGGAGGTGTCCCTGCCATGGCAGGGGTAGAACTAAATGAGATTTCAGGTCCCTCCCAACCCAAACCGTTCTGTGATTCCATGATATCAAACCACAGAAATTCCACATGGCACTGGGAAAAGAAGAGGGAGCTTTTCAGGGCTCTGCACCAACCCTCCTTCCATTGGTATCTCAGACATCAGGGCTGGGACATCTGCCCTGCTGCCCCTGCCCTGCTGTGCCAGCCCGACACTGAGCAGGGGAGGTTTCCCCACAGCCCCTCTGAGATGCTGCCAGGAGTCCAGCAGCTCCTGCCAGAGGAAGGAGCCTTTAAACCCACCTGCAAAATGTCCAATATCCTAAAAGCTGGGTAGCTGGCTGTGTAGGGCTGTCACAGACATGTTTTATGAAAAATCCCTTCCTTAGGATTTTTCCTCCTGAGAAGCTGGGAGGCCTCAGGAGCAAAATGTAAACAATGATTATCTGCTGCTGTGGAATGCAACAGGTGCATCTGGGATTGGTCTCATGGGGTTGTTTGTAATTAATGGCCAATCACAGTCAGCTGTATTGGACGCTCTGGTCAGTCACAAGATTTTATTATCATTCCATTCCTTTCTATTCCTTTCAAGCCTTCTGATGAAATCCTTTCTTCTATTCTTTTAGTAAGTTTTAATATATAATTTTCTTTTAATATAATATATATCATAAAACAGCAAATCAGCCTTCTGAAACATGGAGTCAAGATTCTCATCTCTTCCCTCATCCTGGGACTCCTGCAAACACCCCCACACTGGGTTGGCACCCAGGGACATGAAGGCATTTCCTGACAGGTTATGAAAATTAAGTGTAACAAGCACTCAAATTCCACTACTGAGTGTGCATCACCTCACTTTCCAATCATGGCAATAATGTTCAACACAGCAAACAATCAATCCAGCATATGTATCTATCAGGTAATTTAATTACCCTCCCACCCCCCCAGGATATGCAATACAATGGATTGATTTACATTTCTGGTTTTGACCCAGAGTAAAGGAGATTATAATAGAGGAAAGTAAATTAATTTAGATGGCAAGCTACTTAACCTAATTGGATCAATGTAATTCAGAAAGAGCAGGGATCAAAATAACATTAATATATCATAGAGCAATTCATCACCATGTCTGGAGTTTCAAATGTTGCCAGCTACAATGCTCAGCAGTACCAGATGATTATCAATACTTTACCCTGCATGAAAGACAGAAACAAATGCAATGAAGAACTGCATCTACTGCTTGATGTGATTTTAAAAAATCAGCTGGAACAACATTACAACTTTCTTACTGATGATCCAGACATGCAATTCTTGAGCACAATCACTTACACACTTGGTCGCTGTGTTTATCAGCACAGTGATTTTTTCACATTTCACAGAATCACAGGGTGGTTTGGGAAGGAAGGGACTGCAAAGCCCATCCAATTCCACCCCCTGCCATGGGCACAGACACCTTCCACTAGCCCAGATTGCTCAGGATCAAATTTCCCAGAGCCACATGAACAAGCAGAAGCTTCCATGGCCCAGAAAGATAAATTTTGTGCCTCCTGATCTCTGACAGACACAGCACAGGCTCCCTCATCCTCTGTAAATCGGCAGAAAGCTTCCATGTCAGACTTGCTGAAACATTTTCAGGTGTCAAGCAAGTAGCGTAAGCCTCAGAGAATATGATGAATTTTATTTAAACTTCTAATCCTCACCTTCCTGGCCCCCCACAAGGTGAAATCTGAGGTGGTTTGTTTGGGGAGGGGAAAAATGTCCTGGTTCAAGCACATCAGATTTTTCTCCCTCAATCCATTTAATGACAGGAGTGGTAATTTAACACACTGCCTCTCACTTGCAAATGGGAAAATCAGTCTCTGCTCTCCAGGCACCAATATATTATTTCAAAAGGTTATAATGATATTTCATCACCCAGGGAGAGTCAGACAGACAGTCACAGGA